CTTTCAGCTCCCGCAATCACACTTGCTACAAAGAGGCAGTCTCAAATCCCCAGAAGGGATTGATACGCATTACTAAACGTTTTCAACATAGACAAATTTTACCTCTAGTGATGTAATGATTTGGCAGTTCGAATTTCCACCGTCGCTGACATGGCTAGAAAGAACACACTTTAGCGTATATATGCCCTCTTCGGTAAACCACGCCTACCGTAATGCCATCGTTACAGTCGTGGTAGAACTTCAGGTGTGGATCTATTGTGGTACGTTCTGTGGTGAATCCAGCTAATTCAAAGAAACCATTTGCATCAGTGTAGCCGCTATCCAACTCGTCATCGGGATCAGGTCCTGGAAGGAAGTTATCATAACCGACCGAACACGGCTAATTACTTTTCTTCTTCAATGTGTGTCATCGTACATCTCCCAATGGGGAATAAAGCTTTGATTACTAAGTTTTCCAAACCACGCTTACTGGGCAATAAAGAAAGCTAAATACACGAAATTAATGTTGCCCAGAATATGAAATGATAAACAAAACCAATGATCTTTAATTGGATAACGAAATGTTCCTAATTGTATGTAACTTACCAAAATCGTCGTCAATTAGTTTCACTTTCACATCCTTGGCGGGCATTTTTCCACACATCAAAGTACCTCGCACCTAAATCAAAACGTTCTCAAAAATAAAGTTCTCTTCAAAGCTAAAACTAACCCTGTAATTCTGCCTTCCTATTTGCTGTGGACTGCAGAACGCAAAAGCGAAGAACGTGAGTAGAAGGATGTATGAATGACAATTCCTCATAATCTCTTGAAAAGAAAGATCAACTATCAGAAAAGCATTGCTTCAAAAAAGTAGTTGGAAATCCGTGAAAAGCAACAATCAACGGTGTACAAGCATTTATTTTATGATACAAGTTTACAGTTTACATTTTGAAGTCTTCATTCTTCTTTACATTCTTGAAGTTCGCTTTCTAGCTCAACCTGGAATATTGATTTGAACAGTCGTACAATGGCTCAAAATTTTCTAGAAGTTTTTCAGTGAGGTGTATAAAAAAAGTTAGCTATGTAAGTAAGTGGCACAGAACACCATCTT